AATTTGAGGTCAAAGAAATCTCCATAAGACATTTCTTGCACTAAGAATGGGTGGCCTGTTTTCTTTGCTGATCGAATTATAGTAATGAATGAGTCAGTGGTGTATACTGGCCCAGTTTTAAGCATTCGTTTAGTTTCTCTCTCAATAAGGGAATGTGCCGAGTCACCTTCATTTTGGGTATGGCCTTTGATGAGGTACTTGTGGGTGATGGACTTTATACCCAAGTAGCGGCGTATAAATACAAGGCAACCATGAACTTGTTTTTCTGTTGTCCAGCACAATTATCAGAGTAAAATATTATTTCATCTTCATTAGTCTTTCCCAAACTTTTACTATACTCAAAAACGCATGTTCCTAATTCATTAACCCCACACTTTCCATTGGCTTCGTCCCAAACAAAACATTGACATTTGTTTGTTTTTATATCAAATATGGTGAAATTGAACACATTTACTTTAGATTTATAATAGAAGGCAGACACTTCGCCCTTTGGTAATTGCATGACCGCTTGCAAATCATACACTGCCACAACTGCATTTTGACTTTCCTTGTCCTTACTTTTCTCTTGWCGCGACAAATTTTTTTCAAGCAAGTGATTTTCATATACGGCTTTGTTGTTAGATTTTTCTTCGACCGTCATATTAGTATAGGCTTCGCATTGCTCACATAGATCTTTTTTGGGGGAAAAAAAGGAAATATTAAAGTTTTCCGTAAATGATCTATAAAACGAAATATATGTGCAAAATGTCTGTTTTTTTTTTCTTTGCATATATCTACATAGTCGCGATAAAGGCTTGATGTTGTTTTGCTCCCTTCAATAAACGTTTTAGATGTACTTGCTCTCRTATAATGGCTTTCGATTTTCGGTATTGTTTCAATAAACGCCCTTATTCCAYCTGCCATATTCTTGTCAAGTTTTTTGTGCTTTCCGTGTTTGCCTCTTTGATCCGGTCCAATACTTCTTTCGCGAGTTTTTCTCGTTTCTCTATTACTGTTCGTATTGGTCGATCGTTGATATCAAGAGTGTTTTTAAAAAATAATTTGCAGACGCGAAAAGAATTATCAAATTTCTTTAAAAAAAAAAGGCATTATTGTATTGTCGARGAGCTCTCTTTCCACCCAAACGCACATAGCGGTATTTGGGCTCAACGAGTTTCATACAATTGGAAATAAATTGCCTCTGCTTCTCAATGTCGCCAAGAGCCCAATATGAGRAAAATATCTCTTTTCTCTGCTCTTCGCTAAATATATTTGAACATTTATACCGACAGTTTTCACCGCACGGAGGTTTAATTTCTCTTTTGTTTCGAATAATTTTTTTTAAGCTTTGAAGTGTTCACCACTATTCCTCTTTTTTTTACAATATTTTTCTTCCAATTTTCTGGCTGCTTCCTCTTTTTTTTTTCCTTTCATCGCCGGACTAACCAGAATGGTGGAAGAATTGTTTATGTTTGAAGTTGATGTGCTTGGTTGTAGATCAAAGGAGTTTAGTTCAGGTACTGGCGTACATAGTTCTAGATTTGGAGAATCTTCCTCGAAGCAGTTATCATAAATTAGGCTGTTTACCGCGGTCGGATGTGGTGGGTTATCTTCATCATTGCCATAGACACTATCACTGGAATCGTTAGCAGAAACTGGGAAGTATGTCACATCAACTATGGAATTGTCACTATCTTCTGAGAACAATGATGGAGAAGATCCGCAATTATTTTTGGATAACGACATTTCCAAGTAAGCTAGAAAAAGTCGAAATTCGTAATTTTATTATCAGCAATAGCGTACGTTATGAGAAGGTGTTTTATATTATAGCCGATACTGATAATGACATGTTTTATATTAACACAAAATCACCATTTCTATACAGCCCATTTTTTCACGAAAAAAACGTCACAAAACAAAATACCTAGTTACGCAATTAATTTATTTTCAACAACAACGTCACATATTRTGTTGCGCAAATTATGAGGAACTAAAATTTTTCAACAGTATAGTCACCACGCAAAATAATACTATTTACATGAAAATTAGCAACATGAAAAATATAACTACCTTTTCACATAAATC